GGATGCCGCATACGCCACATGATTGGACTTTACCTTCTCAGCAGCTGGGGATGAAATGATGACTTGGTCAGTTCTCTCCCGTCTTTTATACTGTGTGACATAACTCAGCCTCAACTGTCACCTCTGTCCGTCATGTGAGTGTCAATTGATTTTTAAATTTGCATATTTTATAGAGGTGTGTATAAGAGAAAAACTGGATTTTTTTCAATATTTTATTTCCTTTGTTACCCATATTTACAAGAACAACTTACATAGACATTTCTTCTTGCAAGAGTATTAACTCTCTTAAATTCCTAGCCCCTTCATCATCTTCATCATCAGTATCAGAAGTGCATTCATCATTATGCACTGCATTTAGAGATTTAATCTTGTAGTGACCATGAGCAAGCGTGCTAATATTATCATTCAAGATGTACCTTTTATCATCGTAACAACTTAATCCCCTCTTTGTAGAATATGTAGTGTATACATTATGTTTTCGATCTGTAGCAATTTTTGAAAAATTAACACTTTTACGCTTAAATTGGGTGATACAATTTTGATAATCTTCAAAACAAAGTTGAGATTTCAGAGCAGCTCTTGGTATGCCTTTTCCTACTGATTTCTCCTTGTGTGCCTTAGTTTTGAAGCTGTACATTTTAGCTCTCAAACCTATAAAGGAGATGATTGGCTCTGAATTCATTTCATCCTTGAACTTTCCCATAACTTTTTTGTTTTGTAAGCTGTACAGAGGGTGGGATGTTGGATAATCTGAAGTATCGAAATGCTCACTCATTTCACTCATATCAGCATAAATGTCGTCTGTAAATACATGCACGATCAACGAGTCAGTATCCGTGGCACAGACCCTTATATTATCACCATACTTAGCTTTAAGCACATAGTAATAGAACCCATACATAATATATTTACTTATATCTAGACAGGATTGTCCTACAAATAGGGGACGATTAAGTACAATTCTCGCCTTTTTTCTCTCAACACAGACAAGACCATGATTGAATATATCAAAACTATGGAACAGTGGGCTTCTTACAAGTTTACGGAACTTTTCTCTCTCCTTAGTAAGTACTACACTCCTATGATTCCTAACAGCCTCACAAGTTTTACCAAATACAGAGTTACACATTAATTTCCAGAATGATTTTTGAAAGTCTGATGTAGCTTTTTTGCGCATGTTTATATTGTGTTCAATAAAAGGTTTCAGCCAAGCCTTTTGTTCAAACTCAATAACTCTGTGAATCTTTTTAACCTTTAATCCCAACTGCGCATAAAGTAACAATAGGTCTCCTAGAAGTACATAATTTTTTTTATCAGACAAGGTGGGAATCAATTTTTTTGTGCTTTTTCTTGACAACTCGTAATCTCTGACAAGTTTTTTCTGTAATTTTGACAAGTCTTTGTATTGAGGTTCCACGTGTTCGGGTGCAAGGGGATAGTCATTGTGCTTATCATGTAGTTCAGTGGGATACTCGAGATCAACCTCAAACAGGTACCCAATATCAGACTCGGGGTTGATTTTTGTTACGTCAAACTCGTCAATTTCTCTGTCAGTCAGAAATCGAAAGCCACCAATTGGCAACTTTTCACATAACGCTGTTGAATACAAGGAATTTGCATCATAGTACATAATATAAGAGTGTGGTTCATCTGCACAATAGGTCTCTGGTATGTAAGGATTATTACTTTTCACATATCGATGGTTAATGCTGGCCACACCACCACGCATTCCCCGTTCAAACATAAGATGGATCTCGATATCGTCAATGAGTTCTAGACGCTGCTTTGTGTAGAGAAGGCTAGCAGAGAATGCCAACCCTGGTGTAGTGAAATAGTGAACCGGATCAAGCTTGTAATGCTCCATAGCAATCTTTCTGAAATTTTCCATACAATCTGATAGTAAAAGGACATCTGTTAACAAGTACAAATCATGGAATTCTCTTAGAGAGCTCAGTTTAAATGTCTGAAAGACATTAACAGCATGCTGATAATCTTCTGGCTTAATATTCTCCCCTGTTAAATCATTTTTAAAACATTCAATTGGTGGCAGACATGTTTCTTCAAATTTTTCAAAGCAATCAAAGTAACTGTAAGGATACACGCCCTTTCTGGTTACAAGATTGCGTTCATTCTCATTTGGAAATATTGCTTTTAGAGAGTGCATTTCTTCGGGGGCTAGATCCGCCACTAACTTTTCCAGACTGCTGTTTAAAAAACCAAGGCTATCCAAGAACCTTAGTTTGCCCCACTGAAAGCCTATGTACTTTTCCTTGTTTTTAGGAATGACCGATACATCACTGCCGTCACTTAACACGCCTATTTCAGATATAATCAAATGTGCATCATAATTCTTTAAATTATGCATCATAACAGGTATATAACTTTTTCTCTTCAGATTAAGATTGCAGGGGTATTGACATGCAGCACCTCTGTAGTTACATGAAGGTTTGGACCAATCATGGTCCCGTACTTTTTTCACGTCTTGACGAGGAATCGTCTCTCCACACAAATAACAATTTGTTGCTTTCTGGAACTCTGCTTCCTGCTCTGCACTCATATCAATTTCATACAGATCACCTCTTAGTTTAGTTATATGCTCCTCCTCCTCTTTCAAACACATTAAGAAGCGTTGTACAAGATTCTCTTTTCCATGGACCAGCACAGGCTCCTTCAAAAGACTTCCATCAGCTTTAACAATTATATAACAGAAACCACATGGAACATGACAACTGGTTTTCGTGGTAGCAGATACACTTGGATCAGGCAATGGTGTGTTTAGTGGTACAATAATACTTTCAAAATCAGCATACACTACAAAATCATGATGCATTTGATGACCAAACTGACGAAATCTCATAACTGAGTCTCGCTCCTGCGGCATCTTTACAACTTGAGGGGTGTTTAAAAGACATAATGGTTTGTGTCGCTGATATTTTTCCTGAGAGTAACAAGGCATCAAACAATTCTCACACCAAAATAACGTCCTGTTTTGCTTCATAACACAACAAAGAAATGCTGACAGATTTTTGATTAGCACGTAATGGCATTCATCTTCTTCATCCTCTCCACGCAATAACAGTGTATTAATAACTATACCATTTACAACTTTTGATATACGGAGCGGAACAACATGCTTTTCCTCCTCCAATCCAAACACATTTACACTATAGCCGGGGTTTTGTTTCTCAAATTTCGTAATGTCAGGTATGCTTACTGGAAACTTGATCCCCCTAAAATTAAGCTCATTCAACCGCCCCCGATACTTACTAACTCTCTCTGGGTGACCCTCAGGAAGATTGATAGCAGCTAAACAGCAATATAGAAAGCACTTTTCGTCATTGAAATTTTGAATGTTGATTAACCCTTTATTGCTGTTTTGTAGGTGCTTTGGCAGAGGGAGATATGACGAGCCTTTCAGGGGTGAATATTTTGCTACTCTTATCTCCAATCTATCAACACAATCAAATAGAATTTGTGATCCCTCGGCCTGACATTTATCAAAGTTATTTACAACACCTAGAATTGCTTCTTGAATTTGTTCTACTAACTCATCCTCTCGCAATGTTATGATCGGCACACATCGCATGTAGCGCAAGGATTGTGGATCTTCTTCTAACTGACACCGTATGAATGCGGTAATGTACCACTTCATTTGACGCAAGTCCAGAAGATCCTTCCTTAGAAGATCATGCATACTATGTTGATTTTTAATCAGAGTCAGTTGCAAATCATTTTTGTCTGTGACAGTCACATTATGCACCCGAGCGTCACCCTGGATAGCGCTCGTTGTTTCCCATGCTTCACCACCGTCCATATGCTTCTCCTTGGCAGGCACCACAGATTTCTTGAGCACTATTTCACGCGATCTTTGAGAGCGCTTGAGTTTCACTTTCTTCGCTGCACAGATGCGCACATGAAACCTCAGCGCCGTAGACGTGTTGAAACGACGCACACACCCATCACATACAAGTTTACGTTTGCCAATGTGTTCCTTATTTTTATGTTTGAGAAGCAAAATCACTGATGCAAACACTTCCTTACAGATTCTACACTTAAATTTATGTGCATGCTTCTGGTGATGATTCAATGTACGATGGTTTTTGAACACTTTTGCACACTTTGGACACTTGAAGGTTTTATCTGAGTGGCTCTCCCTCTGATGACGATCAAGGTTCCTTTTATGCTTGAATTGTTTCGGGCACTTAGGACACTGCACTGCACTACACGGCTTTGCTTCTGCACGCGGCTTGGAGATGGAGGATTTGGGCCCATG